GAATTCGAGTGACCCGGAAGCGACGATTAAAATCGAGTAAAATTCAAAGAGGGCTGTGAGGGTGAAATACGGGAGATAAACCACATGGCCGACCACATGTGTGTCGCTGCGGTGCGTGTATAAACGATTTTTAAACTTGAAGTTTTATTCATTTCAAGGTTACTCTGACTACCATTTGCCATTTACACTAAAAATGGCCTGGGGTTTTTGTTTAATAGTTTTTAAGACGTTTGAGTTATAATCTTTTTACTATATGTTTAAAACAACGTCAACAAGTGTATTTTTATTTGTTTTCTCATCAATTATGAGTTGGATTCAATTAAGGTTGTTCCAGCGTGTTTTTAGGCAGTTTATTTCTATTTTTGAACTTTTTCACTTAGAACCTAGTGCTGGGTTCTCAGCTCGTCAGTTTGCTGATGAAAGGGAACCACAATATGTATGACGGATATTTTCAGGAGATGTTAAATATTAAAGAAATATTAAAGAAAAAATCGTTAAAAGCAAATTGCAATGATCAAAATTGAAGAAATTGTTGGGGGAGTCAGACTAAGATTTAAGATTTTAATGTTCAAAAAAAGTCGTTCAAATGGAATAGTGAATAAATATACAGGACATCCCATTTAAAAAAGTAATTTTTTATATTCATTTTGACGGCTGGAAACATATTACATCCTTACTAATGTAACCGACTTCCTAGCTTCTATGATAAAGAAGTTCTTAGATTTGAATTTGTTTACGATATTCCTTTTATCCTTTTTTTAAAATAATTCTATGCGAAAACCATGCGACCAAGTTACATTTTAAGCAAATTTTCATATTAAAGAATAAAAAGCTACAGTTTGGCAATCGGCAACTATCAAACTTTAATACGCTATTGACAATTTTTTACACATTGTTATTCACCTCGGCGCGATTTTGCACAAGCAATCAGCCGCATTAATTCCTTACGTTGCTAAACAAGGTTTCACAAAATTTTCACAATTAGCTCAATGCCAAAAATATATATTAAAGGTAAAAGCCTTATTTATATTCAGAATTGACATTCGTCGATCAAATTGCATGCCATGTGCACGCTGTTCACTAGTTTTCATTATAAGAACTAGGTATCTCAATTATTTAGCGAAAAAAAATATTTCAGATATGTATTATTTGAAATATAGAATCCTCCTTGCTGTAAAATGATTCAAAAATTATACCATATTACTACAGAAGAATTTAAAAGCAGGCGCTCTGTGCTGCAACTGCCGCTAGAAATGTGACTATAGTTTGTTATCAATCACTCAATATTACTTTCCACGATAGTAAATATTACATATCAATTCATTCCATGACCATGGAAGTTCCTTCAAAAACTATACAAAGAGTAATACCAACATATACAAAGAGAATATTTTTAAATTTAACTCAAATCCTAAATGATCCTAAAATGTGAAAAGTCTGGTTGTTAACACGATAAAATTTATTTGTTTAAAAATTTAAAAAGGGCACAATTTCTGACGAAACAAATGATACAGGAATATGTAACAATTCTTCAGACAAATTTTAATTGCTTTGGTTTTAATTTGTCCCTGTCGCTACTAACCGAACAACCCCCGTAGATGGATTAAAAAAATGCCTTCTGGCGTAGCTCGTGACTAATTTATATGCCACTCAGCTATCTCCTTCTAACATATAATTTGATTCCGATAATTCCCAGGACATTCCTTTACGTATGTCTCCTCCGTGTATATGTGTAGACGCGTGTGTGTGCGAGTGTGTCTATGCGTTATTCGTAGTATTTCTCCGTGGCAGGCAGTACGAAAAAAATGTACGAAATTTTTCCTGTGTACTCGAGCTGGTAGAGGTTAACCATTGGCGTAGGAAGGTCAGCTAAATTTGATAACATGTCTAATGCTTGGAGAGTGCTCAAATAGAACAGTGCAAAGACGTTTGAGGGAAATCTTCTCACTCCAGTGACTATAATCCAACCACGTTCCCATTGTTCTGATTCATAAATAAATCTACTACAACGGAATTTAGATATTTAATCATCTTCCTCAGTTCTTTAAATTAGCTTTTAAAAGTTCCGAAAAAAAGTTAATTGAAAGTCTGCAGGAATACTGCTATTATTTGACTTACAACCAAATGTATGGTCGCTTTTCTTTATTTGATTTTTTTTGCAAATTTACTTTGATGTAATTTTTATTATTTTAATGCGGAAGACATTATAATTATATGTATATATTAACACTGCATTGATTAGATGGTAGTAAAGTATTTAATTAATCATGGGTTGATACTTTAACTGGTATGACCTCCATTGAAATTTGAATGACCAAATTTTCGCCGAAAACCGTCGACCACGTCAATGAGTTCGGACAGAGGAGGCACGATGAATAAAAATGAGTTCTAGTCTTGTCGCAGGCATGTAGATCAGCTGTAAAATCGGGCTAAAAAAATCGAATACAACATGCGAGAACTTCTACAAAAGGCGCTCTAGTTTTAACTTGACCGACGGGTTTTTGAGACAATGCCAAAACAATTGGTGTTCGCGCGTTGGCAGATACGCACTACTGACCTACAGAATAAGTGTTTTACTGTCGTTTGTTGTGTGTCAGTTTTGGCTCGCCAATCTGGTTTATAAGAAATTGTTATTAACATTAATTGCCTTTTACTTACGAGGGGCGCAGTGGTTATTTCTATTTTTAAAATCGTTAAACTGATTATTGTAGCTAAGATATATTCACGCATCAGAAAAATAAATAAATGTATATGCTTCGTATGAAATGCAGCCTGAGCTGAAGCACTATGCACAAAAAATATTATTTAATTTGTTGTATTCTGCAATCAATTTTAGACCTGGCCATAGCTTACCATACCATTTGATAGGGAATTACAAAGTATTAAATTCAACAATATGGAATTTAATTCAAATTAATCAAGATAAAGATAATTGTAAAATTAAACTATATTAAGTCACTTTGGACCACAAAAATAACATACTATGCAAGGGTTTCTATTTAACACACAACTCTGGTTCTCCTAGTACTTTGGAAGCCACTTATTAAAATAATTCTTGATAGACATCCGTCAATTACAAAAAAAAATATTTTTTTAAACACTTAATTCAGTCATCACATTCTGTGCATAGCAGATAACGGTGTTTTCTATGTATGTGTATGTATGTATATTATCCCGCAAAATCATACTTAAGTAAGCTCAGTATAGACAAATAAGCCTATAAAAGTAAGAAAAATGAATTCGCTTCCCCAGACATGACAATGACAATTAAAACTCAAATATAAAATTGCATTTTTGTTGTGCTAAAAGAAACAATTGCTGTGATAAATCTTTAATCCTGTTTGTTAAATATTACCAGGAATTTCCAATCGCAATCTAAAAATCTACGGAGAACAAACCTTAAAGTCAAGTGTAGAGCGTCGGACTTCATTCATTTTATTATTGCCGAGACAGGTGAAGAAATGCGTTCACTTTTTTTTACAAGCTTTTAAGGATTGTTATTTTACCGGAGAATGTTGTTAAGTATTCCATTGAACCTGGTTTGCAGCCGTTTGAGCTTTTGTTTCCTTTTAACATTTAAGAAATATTTTATTGCTCTCAAAAATTAAAAAGATTTAAGAAATAAGCACGTACCTGAATAATATATTGAAAATTGATGTAAATTTCATTTTCTTTGTATATAATAAAATGTATTAAAAAAAATTACGTGAACAGAGATGTATGCACGTTTTCGTTAATAACATTTAAAAACTTTAAATCCAGAAAATGTTAAAATAAAAGTAGTTTTAATAGATCCTAATTTGCCAATTATTTATGAAAAAAATTATAAAAATAATTTCCAATCATCAGTAAAATTATTATCATCATAATAATTATGTTACTTTCAATTAAGTAAAAAAAATCTTCCGAAGTAGAAAAACCGCTTGAACTTGACATCTTATCTCGGTATCTCGGTGTCTTAAGTATCACCATTTGCATAACAGACTAAAAATTGACTCAACTAATTTTTACTATTACTACGAGTCCAACCTTGGCCACACCAAACTCATTCATAAAAAGTAGACGCTATGCACTTTCACACCTTTATCTGCGTTCGGTCAATTTGCATCTTTAAACACCGTAATTTCTAACACTCAGGGTCAAGATTGTTTATATAAAATATAAGAAAAAACGCCAGAGTGCTGCACTTATGTGACCTTTTTCGAAAAAGATTCGCTTTTTCCGTCTGGGTTAATAAAGCAGTGTTTATCCTCTTGAGTCAATATTTGTGAACGTTAATGTATACTGAGTTGCGTGTGAAGAATTAAGAAAGACAAGTCACCCTCGCCATTGGGTAACAAAGATTTCGAAATATTATGTAAAAAGTGGTCGAAGAATATTAATTTTACTTCTTACAGCCTCTTACGTTTTTTTCTTAAATTCAATCAATATTTGTTAAAAATGAAAATTTCAGTTTTCTCAAGTTTTTTCATATATACATTTAAATTATTAATTAGCAGAATATTCTTCATTTCAATGGCGCCCAAATGAACCCAATAAACTCCTTGAAATATTTTTTCTAGTAGCGAGGAATCGGAGATATCAATGATGGATCACATCAGGAACTTCTGAAAATTTATTGAAAAGAAATAAAATATTCGGTTGAAAAGTCCGCTTGAATACACTGATTTAATTTTTTAAACACATATTTTTTTATTTGCACTTTATAAACGAACAAGCAAAATATATTAGACCAAGTAACGAATATTAATTAATTAATTAAATTTAAAAGAAAATACCAGCCAAATTGAACCGTTTCTAAAATTTTTTTCATTAAAATTTCCAGGAAAATATTTCACTTAAAGAATATTAATAAAATAGGGCGCGAGTATAGCATGCACCAAATCCCAGCCGAAAATTCACGTGCGATATAATCCATTCGGAAGGGCACTCATCTTAAGGGCACAACGCAAACCACTGCACTCTTACCTCTCTCAGAACTTCTTGAAAAGAAAACTAACCGCAAAAATCCACACGGTTTTATGAACGGCAGCCCGGCAGTCTTTAAATTTCACACTCGCGATACCTCGAATGAGGGGATGCTCGTCGAACAATATATTTGAGACGACCGCCAATATTACCAAACTTGGTGTAATGTGACGCGTCTCGTCCCACTGAGCGAATCTTCTTTGAACGAGGGACGATGAAGAAATGAACTCGTACGGAATAGCGCGGCGCTAGTTTAAATAGTCAGTGGGGCGGGGATACGAGACCGCCGCTGCTGCTGCTGCTGCTGATGGTCCATCGACGGCGACGCATCGCGAAGAAGAAGAACGTGACGTCGCGACGCCTGTCGGCGTCGGGCCCGAGGGTAGAGAAGAGCACAGCGGCCGACTGACGCGGAATTTGGCGTTTGCTTGGACGGTGCTGCCGCCGACCATTTGAGGCGGTTGAATCGCGAAGCTTAGTGCGAAACAGATTGAGCGGTTCGTTTTAAGGTCGTTTAATAAAACCGACTTCTTTAAATACGTACGCAAGTTATTTCGTTTGGCGGACCCCATAATTTTTAAAAGAACATGCATTGATAAAACCTAAATTATTCTATTAATCTTTTTTTTGGAAATTTTACAAAATTGATTGTGGCGCAGTGCAGTGCAAAAATGTGAGAACGTTGGAGATTTTTCATTTTACACTATAAAAGAGAGAAACAAATTCAAATTAAATATAGTTTTGGCGAAAGGAGTAATACATTTTATTTAAATTAGTGTTAATAGTAGAAGTTTAAAGTAATAAAATAGTCGAACTGAGAAAATTAAATGCGAAAATTTTGAGGGCAATATTTAATCTCGTTTAATTAAATAATAAACACATTTTTTCATCACACAACTACAAACACGATAAACTAACATTTCTACACACTGTATCCCAAAACTCTCAAAGGACAATTTGGAATGTGGTTCAAAAATTTGAGCAAACTGGATCTGTAACTAACCTCAAAGTCCCTCAACGTGCTCGTGCAGATCAAAATATTGCTATTGTTCTCGAAAGTGTAGCCGAAGATCCAAACACATCGATTCGTCATCGATAGCAGCCAGTGAGCCTTACGTACTCAACCACACAGCGAATTTTAACAAAAAGCTTGCATCTACCCATCTACCCATATACAGTCCAAATAACTCAGGAGTTGAAACCTCAAGATCATCAACGGCGCCGCGTGTATGCAGAATCGATATGAGAATAAGGGATTCATTCTTCAACGAAAATCATCTTTAGGGATGAGGCACATTTTCACGTTGGTAGCTTTGTAAACAAATACAATGCTCGTATTTGGGGATTAGAAAATCCAAGAGAGATTGTTCAAAAAGCTTTGCATTCTCAAAAAGTGACTGTTTGGCGCGCATTTTGGCGCGGAGGAATAATTGGCCCTTCTTTTTTCGAGGATGATGCGGAGAACGCTGTTACGGTTAATGGTGTTCGCTATTGAAACATGATATCTCTTTTTTTTTGGAGAGCAGTTGGAAGGTTTATTGAAGGTTTGTGAAGAACAGGATGAAGCCACTTGTCACACATCCAGAGAAACGAGGCAATTGCTGCGGGGCAAGTTTCCTGGTCGGATTATCTCAGGTAACGGGGATATCTTACTCCCTAGTTTTTTTTTTTGGGGGTATCTAAAAAGCAGAGTGTATAGAAATAAACCACACACTATTCCAGAGCTGAAACAGGAGATTAGACGCAAAATAGCCGGCATAGAACCTGAATTGTGTCAAAAAGTGATAGGAAATTTTAATAAACGGTTTACATCATGCCACGTGAGTCGCGCGGGTCATTTGAATGACATCATCTTTCATACCTAATTGTAATACACTAATCTAAAATTGCAAATAAAAATGTTTGTATATTTTTATATTCTTCAGAGTTTTTTTATTATTTTAATGTGGAAACCCTTATTGAATCACCCTTTAGTATTGTTTTAAATTAATCATATTTAACTTTTTTCCGTATTCCAAATTTAAATATACCATTTCCCAATATTTTCCCTATTTTGTACACAAACTCTCCATTACGATTATTGTTATCATTAAGATGATAATGTTCACCATTTCACCTCCATTTTAAAATACATTGTAAAATTTTATTCATATCCTTTAACCTCCAACAATACCAGCAATAGGTGAATTAATATTAAACAAAAAAATTGAATATACATATATTGTTACACTTTCGAAAGATAGTATTTAATAGTGTGAATATTACGCTTTACGTTTTTTTTTGTAAACGCTTACTTACGTATTTTTGCTTTTAACTCGACTATTAAGGAACTAATGGCTAATATCCCCAATAAATGTCAAGTACATTATGAATTTTAAAATAATATCCAAAAAATTGTTAAGTGAATGTGTTATTAATTAACATTATTAATCCCATGAAATAAGAATAATAACGTTCGTACAGTTCGTAAAAATGCACCTACCTGAAAATTATTTTATAATTTAGAATACCGATTGTGACGAATGTTAGAAAACATTAGTATCAACTTGTTATAGAAAAACTTACGAAATTTGAAATGTTAAAGCCGCAACTACCGATGAGTCGATTAACCTTTTCTGTATTAATTGCTATAGTGGGTAATCTAGCCATTACAAGCGATGAAATTGTTGTCAATTTCTTAATCCGGTCGACGGGTCTTGGCATTTCCTTCGCGTTTAATTAGAAGCCTGTATGAAATGTTAAGCAAACATTGTTGATAGATCTGTTAACGAAGATCGAATATTTAATTGGATTAAGAACGCACTCACCTGTAAATGTGTGTGCTTGAAGGCGCCAGCAGCAAAAAATAGAAAATATAATCTTTTGCTTAGCATTTGTTTTTGGTCAACACCGTTGCCATTTTTACGATCAAAACCGCAAAAATGTTGTTAGTAAGAAGTGTCGCACAAACATTTTCTGATTAAATTGAATTGAGAACAGGCAAGTGGGATTTCCGTACGTAAGTACTGGTAATTTTCATATTCGTAATTAACATTTTTAAACACAAACCTTTGCCGTTCGGTGACCAATGATTAGCTTAATAGCAAATAGCAACATATTTTTATAAAATTATATTTATGTTACAACCCACAGTTGATGAAAATATTGAATGACTTCTGTAATAAAATTGACGTTTTTTATCGAAGTCGCTCACAGTTTACCACATTAATTAAACGTAATTAGTACGTTTCATTATTATTTTTCTGTTGTGAATATAGTTTAACACTTATTTTATTACAGTTATAGTTTATAGTTCTTAAAATGAAATTTTCTTCTAAATGGATGTTAATCTGTTAGACAATAAAGATTATTATTATTTTATTATTTATGGGTCCTTTAATAGTATTTGTGTGAGCATTGCGCTATGTTCGTGCTTTTATTTTGTTATCCGAATTGCGCCACCTTCCGACCCTTAACTAGAATGTACAGGACTTCTAAAATTTTCATCATTAAATCTACCATCGAGAACTCTCGGACGTCAACATTGCCTTTTATACAACTGATTACGGAACAGATCTAAACAGATAATCAATTAGCGCTGAACATATTAACTCTATAAAGAGCAGCAAAGTGTAAAAGAAAATAAAGAGGTGAATCGTTTGGTAACGAAATCTGCCAGGGAAACACTTATTGTAACTAAACAGTATTATGGATTTGAGACCAAAACCATCTGGACGAATCTAATAAAATTCCTAAAATTGATAGAAAACAAGTGAAAATAGCTTAAATATTTAGGATTTGCTAAAAGCTCTATGGAACTGCGGAAGGAATTTAAATCTTGTGTATTATGTGCCAATGTTTGTCTCAGAAGGGCGCAAGACAAGAATGCACTCTCATAGAATTCGGAAGCTATGAAGCATATTTATAATCACTGTTGAGTATAAATAATATTACTTAAAAAGTTATTACGGAACTTTGGTTTTTTTAAAATCAGTATTGACTGAACATAATTTTTTCGGTAAAAACAATAATTTATAATTTATATTATGTTTGTTAATTTTGAAGTATTTTTGTCACCAGTGTAGTATTCTACATATTTTATCAATTTTGAAACTATAAAAATTAATACAAGGAATGTTTGGAGTTATATATAAAGATGCTATAAATGTTTGCAGTCAATAATAATTTAGATAATATATGCATTTTCTCCAATACCTTTGGCACCCGCAGTTTTTCCTAATTAATCTCCATCAAATTTCAACGGGCTTTTCGACTTCGCTCGGGGCCTAAGTTTAATTAAAAAGTTTTAAGTGCAGTAAAGCAGCGCGTGTCAGATTTCGAGATTGCACATGGCCTGCTGAAGGCGACTTTGCATCAAGACACTCATATTCGAATTAATTCTGAGAACTTCACTCGAGCCTTCTCGCGTTATGGAGTTCACATTATTACGAAATATTTTTTGGCGAATACTTTGTGCCACAGCAATTAGACTAATGAATTAATTTATTTAATAAATTGCGTCCATACAAAAATTCTTAAGAACATACCGATTTAATTAATGTGAGTAAAGTCTATGGATTCAATTCAAGGATAAGAACAACGCATCAAAATAGTTAAAGGGTTATTGGTATGATCCAACGAAAGAGGGTAGTAATACGTTTTAAGGGCATTTAAATTATCAAAAACTTCAACCGAGAAGTGAGTATAAACCAATAGTCAAGGTCAAAGGTCAAAGTCAAATTGATTACAAAAATTACACTTTAACATATGTTTTTTTTATTGAAAACTCCTGGTTTCTTATCGTTTTAAGTTTTAAGGCTCAAACTGTCTTTTCCATAACCACCACTATTGAAAAATATAGAAGAATTATTGAAAGACACTTCCGGAAGCTACCGTAACAACTGTTTACAAATCTTCTGGATTTTGGATCGGTTGTTTATAGTCCAAGCTTGCCAATCACGCCGTTAGCTTCTTCAGAACTTAACTGAAACAGTTTCAGAAGATACGTAAATGGAAATATAGGAAAATCTAATTTGGATGCTAATAAACTTGAGATTTATTCTATGAAATGAGAAGAAATGGAAAACAAATGTAATTTAGTAATTTTGCAAAATACGACCCATGTTAAAATAACCATTGAATTGAAAAATAATCAAGTTTTGTTCAGAAATCACCTTTTAAAAATTTCTCTCGCCAACTTGGAAATATTCTGTACTGAAAATTTTTTT